AAATAAAAATAAAGAAAAAAAAATAAGATAAAATAAAATAACATGTAACTCAAGACAGAGCATGGAACTGGGAGCCCAGACACCTAAGATGCAGTCAATATCTTTAATTTTTATTTCTTTGTTTGTTTGTTTATGAGTCAAGGTCTCACTGTGTTGCCCAGGCTGGAGTACAGTGGCATGATCACAGCTCACTGTAGCTGTGACTTCCTGGGCTCAAGTCAATCCTTCTGCCTCAGCCTCCTGAGTAGCTGAGAGTACAGATGTTAGTCACTGTGAACAGTCAGGATTTTTTTTATTTTTTGTAGATATGAGGTCTCACTATGTTGCCCAGGCTGGTCTCGAACTCCTGGGCTCAAGCAATCCTCCCACCTTGGCCTCCCAAAGTGCTGAGATTACAAACATGAGTCACCACACCCAACCTGTCCATATCTTTTAAACTATTATATATTAAACAATTCCAGGACACTGGTTCTGGCACTCCTGAATATCCTGTTTCACTGGAGCCTCCCAGATTCTTGAAGTTTTCATTTTACAGATAGAAGAAGTGCCAAAAACCAATTGGTGGTCTTTGACAAGTCATTATTTCAAATAAACAGAGTGAATATTAAATTTGATGATGTCTTAATATAATGAGGATCAATGTTTACTAAAGAATTCTAACACTTCAGAAAAGAATAAAATTGTATTTATATATGTGATTAAGATACTTTAATCCGCCAAACAGCAACTTTCTAGACAATTTGCAAATCATAGAATTAAGATTAGTGTGTTTGATAGACTCACCATTTAAAGGAAAAGTCACATAGATACAACAGAAAGAAAGTAATAAAATCCTGTGAGTTTATTTATATGTTAGTTTATACACAGACTCGTTAGGCAAAGAATTTGAGGCAGCAATGGCTGTTTTATTCATTAAAGGCCTTTCCTCTGGGTCATCTCTGAAGACTGTCAGAGAAATGCCTCATAAGAATTTAATTTTGAGGTTGAATGTAAAAAACAAGGAAGAAATGGACACATCATTATCAATTATCAACAATAAAGCTAAAAAGTAAGAAATGCCAGGCTCGGTAGCTCGGCCTGTCATCACAGCGCTTTGGGAGGCCGAGGCGAGTGGATGGCCTGAGCCCGCGGGTTCGAGACCCGCCTGGGAAACTCTGTGAGACCTCATCTCTACAATAAATCAAAAATTAGCAGGGCGTGGTAGCACGCACCTGTAATTCTGGCTACTTGGAAGTCTGAGGTGGAAGGATCGCTGGAGCCCAGCAGGTCGAGGCTGCGGTGGCCAGGAGCGTGCCACTGTACTCCAGTCTGGGCGACAGAGTGAGACTCCAACTCAAAAAAAAAAATGTAAGAAGTGAGAGAAAATGCCTGTGTCATTACAGACTTCCTCAACTGAGACCCAAATGTCCAGATAGTCCAAAGCTAAATAGCCCAAAACTGCCAAAATGGAAAAAAAAAAAAAACCTCAATTCAGATGACAGCTAAAGAAAACCAGAAAACCTCTACAGGCTGGGCACTATAATCCCAGCACTTTGAGAGACCAAGGTGAGGAAAGGATTGCCTGCGCCCATGGGTTGGAGACCAGCCAGGGCAACATGACAAGGTCTTATCTCTACAATAAATCAAGAAAAATTAGCGGGGCATGGTGGCGCATGCCTGTGGTTCTAGCTACCTGGAAGGCTGAGATGAGGAACGCCTGAGCCCAGAAGGTCGAGGCTGCCATGGCCGTGAGTGTGCCACTGAACTCCATCCTGAGCAACAGAGTGAGATTCTGACTCAAAAAGAAAAAAAAGGAGAAAAAAGAAAAGAAAACCTCTGCAAACCTCAGGCAAAAAACCAAAGTTTAATCTTGTCTCCTTCTTTCCTCATAAAACTCTTTCCACCGAGACTTTTACATTTCTACATTTCATCAAATTTATTTCACTCAGCTCTTACTCCCTTCCTTAAATCTTCTTTTAGCCAAATGTCAATCTTTACAAATGGAAAGATTACATTTCAGAAATTTCAATGAGAGAAAGCCCAAGACTGTTCCTTCTAACTCCTGCATTGGCATACCATTGAATCATCAGTGTTTCGACTTCTTTGGTTTCATAGCTATGGGGACAGGTGAGGCCAGATGACCAACACATTCTCCTTGGTGCATTTTTTACCTGCCTTAGAAGGGCGTGATGAAAATTCCTCCCAGCTTAATAATTTCAAAGTTTGTATGATACTTTGCACCCCTTGGAGAGGTCACTCTAAGCATAAAGAACAGCGCCGTCACACTGCTGTGAAAACAGTTCAAGGAGAGTATAAAAGTCAATATCGAAAGAGCTACAAAGGGAAGGGAATCATAAGTTGTTTAATAACATGTTCCCATCAAAGGCAGTTTAAGGGAAAATTAAGCAAAGGTGAGATGTTGATAACAAATGACTGAAAATAAAGATTAAGGCATGCACAGAGTTTAACAGAGACTGCCTAGACAAGGAAGAAACTTTTAAATGAACAAACATTAGCTACTTAAGAATAAAGCTAAGGAGAGGCTACAAAATATTTTTCTGAAAATAATGTATAGAGGCTTTTTTAAACTGTGGTAAAATATACATAAAACTTGCCATCTTAATCATTGGTAAGTGTCCAGTTCGGTAGTCTTAAATACACGCCCACTGTTGTGCTACCAATTTCCAGAACTCTTTTCATACTGCAAAACTAAAATTCTAAGCCCCTCTCCCCTAGTCCCTGGCAACTCCCATGCTACTCTGCGTCCATGAATTTTATTACTCCAGGTGTCCCATATTACTGTAATTAGACAGTATTTGGCTTTTAAAAAGACATTTTTAAACCAAAGAAACTACTAGCAGAGATCAACAGAAATCTAAAGTCCAAAGGGACAAAAAACATGAAGCAGAAAATGAACTAGGGAGGGTTCCAGACTTGAGAATCTATCAAATGACCATGTTATCAGAAGTAGGTACAGGCCCTCTTTTTCTAAACACTTTTTAAACAAAAATAGAAAAACATAAAAGTACACAGGAGGAGAGGGGAACACCAGATTTCAGATTTCTGTGACATGACCTTTGGAACAGCATGGGTTATCAGAACAGCATGGGTTCAAATCGTCTTCTCCAAATAGCTTTAAAACAAAGACAGAAGGTCCTGGAATGATGGTTCATACCTGTAATAACAGCACTTTGGGAGGCTGAGGCAGGAAAATCAGTTGAGTCCAGGAGTTCAAGGCTGCAGTGAGCTATGATTGTGCCACTGTACTCCAGCCTGGACAACAGAGCAAGATCCTGTCTCTAAAATATATATATATATTAAATAAATATCTCAGTGAAAGGCTATAACATGGATTTAATATACCCAATGAGCAACCATTTTAACATTGCCTAAATCTCATGTTTTTCTAGCAGTTCATTTACCCTCTCACCACTAACCAAGGACAGAACCATTTTCTCAGAGGTAGCTAGTGATAATTATTTTACAAACCCACTCTCCAACTTGTTGTACTAATTAGCTTTTCTATTTCAAGTATTTGTCTCCACCCATGAGACCTAAGTTAACCTAACCAGCCCTTTATGACCTTCGTGACACAGACAGATCCCATCAACATGGCAGCAATCATGCAACTAGCCCACCCATCGGCCTGTTGTCCATCACCTGACATCAGTACCTGTGCTTACCTGTCCCTTCGTGATGATGTGGAGCAGGCCACCACCCAATCACCTTAACTACCTCCCCCCATCAAAGGAAAAGAGTAAAAGCATTCAACCTCAAGCAGCCAGTGGCTATTGCTTTACTAAACTCTGGCGTGCACTCTTAGCTAAACTATTTGAACACATGGTCACCACCATGTTTCCAAAACTCTGGTCCCCTCCCCTACTTTGGGGAGGTGACTCTCCTCTCTCTCTCTCTCTCTCTCTCTCTCTCTCTCTCTCTCTCTCTCTCTCTCTCTCTCGTTTACTTTCTAAATAAACTATATTTTCCAATCTAACTTCTGTGCAATTCTTTGCATCTTTCTGACGGCACTGCATCGCAAACCAGACACTCACCCCCCACCCAGCGGGCCCGACCTAACATTCTGGAGGACTGCACTGGGAGTGTGAGCTAACACTCAGGATTAAAAAATAATTGATGGTCCTCAGGATTCAAAAAGTAAAAATAAATAAAGCAAAAGCAGAAGAAAATAGCATCTTCTCTTCATTTCTTAAGATTTGATTCTAAAGAAGGAAGTTGCTCTTATTATATCCGAGTAGAATTTAATCAGAAATAAAAACATACTACAAAGAGCCACCTAAAAACCCTTCCAATATTTCTTAGACATTATCTGCTTAAATAAATGTGTTGCTGAGATCTAATAATGCTTACATGCAAGATTGTTACTTGTTTTTTTCCTTATTAATGGTTAAAACATATAATTTGATTCCAAAATACAAAAAGAAAGCAATAACCTAAAATCACAAACTTCAACAACCTTACAAAAATATGCTGATTGAAATAAAGAGAAGGAAGCCTAATTAAATCTGAAACTAATGCTGGTGTTAAAGCTAATTTCAACTTCTAAGAGCAATACAAATAAAAAGCTATTGTGTTTGATGGGAAATGTTTATTTTCATCTTAATAAGTATTTTAATTATGCTTATTAAGCCAAGGCTGTTCCCTGCAATTGGGAAATCATAAGGCAAATTGAATAGAACTACTCTTTCAGAAAAGAGTTGCCAGTCATCAAAACCTCTGCAAGATTCAAACTGAAATTCTGAAATTTTTTTTGCTTTGCTCCACCTCTTTTTTTTTTTTTTTTTTTTTTAATCTATCGGAAATGCCCCAGGGCTCTGACCTAGCTTCAGAAAGAGCCAGGAGAGTGGGTTCATGAAAAAGAAATTATCCAATTACAGATTGGCAAAACTGTAACAGGAATTAAGAAGTGACAGAGAAAAGGAACACCCTTAAAGTGTGTATATAAGGGCCAAAAAGTCAGCCTTGAATGCATTCCTCACTGTCACCTCTCCTATCCACCTGGACAGGTCGGCATTTGCAGGAGTATCATGTCCTGCTCACCTCTCATCTCCTCCTCCTCCAGGGCTGGAGGCAGCAGCTCGCTCAGGTCATCTTCTGGTGGGAGCAGCTTCAGCAGTGGAAGCAAATGTGGTCTGGGGGGCGGCTCTGCTGGGGGCTTCCAAGGAGGAGCCGGCAGCGGTGGCCTGAGTGGGGGGCCTCGCGGTGGTTTTGGAGGCAGCTTTGGAGGGTGCTTTGGTAGCTGCTCGGTAGGAGGCAGCTTTGGAGGAGCCTCAGGTTCTGGGGTTGGCTTTGGTGGGGTCTCTGGATTCGGCCGGGGTTCTGGATTCGACAGTGGTGCCAGTGGAGGCTTCTACAGCTACGGCGGCGGGGTAGGAGGTGGTGTTGGCCATGGGGGGCTTCTCTCTGGAAGTGAAAAGCAAACCATGCAGAACCTCAATGACCGCCTGGCCAATTACCTGGACAAGGTCCGAGCCCTGGAGGAGGCCAACACTGATCTGGAGAACAAAATCAAGGAGTGGTATGACAGATTCGGGCCTGGGTCGAGAGAAGGATCTGGAAGTGATTACAGCAAATACTATTCAGTAATTGAAGATCTCAGGAACCAGGTGAGACACTATAAGTGACTGAGTTTCTATTATTTTCGTATCTTTCGCTTTTATTCAGCTCATGTTCTATAATGAAAATTTTAAGCCAAGAAATTATTTGTAAATATATTTTCTTGTTGCATATGCAAAATGAGACCTGGTGTGTCTTAATTATGACAGTACTTTAGGTGACATCCAACCCCGTTACTTTTCTGTGTGCATCTTAGTTTCAGTATTTCTACAAAAGAGTAAAACTTTTACAATGTCAGGCAGCTAATTAACACGCATATGTAAGAATGATGGTAATGTGTCAATATTATTTTAATCTAATTATTCCATGATTAATTTTGATGGTTGACATATTTTAGTGTCTTGCTAGATTTAATAGTCTTTAGGATTATTTTTCTTCCTCAAAAATGTGGTGCAAGCATTGTATAAGAATGTAGTAGAATCTAAAATATTTAGCCACTCATGCCTAGGAAGTATATCTTTCAAGACATTTTTTGAAGGAAAATTCAACTGCCACACGCTTTTCTGAAAGAGCTCATGGAATTGATTAATCTTACAAGGCAACAAATATATGCAGAGGTCTATATTCTGTAAATAGTGTCCGGTGCTTACCCCAGTAAATGTACAAACTATTACTTTTTTGCAGAAAGATGTAGTCCTAAATAATACAGGGGTCATTACTAAGTAAATTTGCAAAGCAGTTCTCCTTTAAGAGCTAACAACACAGGTGACATCTACCCTCACCGGTAGGCATACCAACATGAGGGAAAACTCATTTATGATTCACTCACTATTAACATCTTTTCTAGATCATTGCTGCCACTATTGAAAATGCTGGGATCGTTCTGCAGATTGACAATGCCAGGCTGGCTTCTGATGACTTCAGACTGAAGTAAGAAGCATGAAGACTTGAAAACACGTGTTGACTGGGCGCAGTGGCTCATGCCTGTAATCCCAACACTTTGAGAGGCCGATACAGGAGAATTTCTTGAGCCCAGGAGTTCGAGACCAGCCTAGGCAACATAGTGAGACCTTGTCTCTACAAAAAAAATCAAAAAATTAGCTGGGTATGGTGTGCCTATCTGTAGTCCCAGCTACTTGGGAGGTTAAGATGGAAGGATCACCTGAGCCCAGGAGTTTGAGGCTGCAGTGGACCATGATCATACCACTGCTCTCCAGTCTGGGCAACAGAGTGAGACCCCCAACTCAAAATAAAAAAACCAACAAGTGTTATAGGAAAAATAAAATTCAATCAGTTTACTCTATATGTGAGGAGATCATGACCTAAATTTACACACATCCCCTGGGTAAACCTTAGAAATCATTCTTCCACTAAAAAGAAAACAAAAGAAGGTAAGAAAGAGGCAAATTAAGGATGAGAATCTTATTATAAGAATTATTAGACATGACTAGAATTAACATTAGACTTATTTTTTTGTGTGAAAGAAAAATTCCCAAGAGAAAACTTAATGGTCTTCATTTAGCAAAATGCCCAGAGGTGAAAACTGTTTTTCAATACTAAGAATGGAAGGTATTCTTTGAAAGGCAGTCAGGCTGGCTCACCATATTGCCTTACTGCTGCCCCTTCCAGGTATGAGAACGAACTGTGTCTCCGGCAGAGCGTGGAGGCCGACATCAATGGCCTGCGGAAGGTGCTGGATGACCTGACCATGGCGTGCTCTGACCTGGATATGCAGATTCAGAGTCTCACTGAGGAGGTGGCCTTCCTGAAGAAGAACCATGAGGAGGTAGAGACACATTCCACGTCAATGAACCACACTCTGGCATATGTATTTTCCCCCATATCCATCCTATAAAGATAAAACAAACCCAGTTTTATCTCAATGAACTTCCCTTACCTTATGACCAGGCAAAAAATAGCAATAATGAGCATATGACATCTGAATTTGATTTTTTTTCCCCATCTTCACTGTCCTGGTTTCACATTTTTGGTTGTCTGTGCACATTTGAGGAAGTCACTCCTCTGCTGTTTGCATCACTATGATCTTTTATTCTTCGTGCTAGGAAATGCAGAGTATACAGAGAAGTTCTGGAGGGGGTGTGACTGTAGAAATGAATGCTGCCCCAGGAACTGACCTGACAAAATTACTGAATGACCTGAGAGTGCAGTACGAGGAACTGGCAGAGCAGAACCGCCGTGAGGCAGAGGAGCAGTTCAACAAGCAGGTAGCGCCGCTGGAGCACTCGTACCTGCAGACACACACGCCACACCTGCTCCTGTCCTCAGCCCACCAAGACAACTGCATTTTACTTTGATTTAGAGTGCATCGCTACAAGCACAGATCTCTACCGATGCGGGGGCCGCCAGTTCTGCCAAGAATGAGATCACAAAACTGAAACGTACTCTGCAAGCCCTGGAAATCGAGCTTCAGTCCCAGCTGGCCATGGTATGCACTAATTGCTTTCCAAAATCTCCAACAGGGAGTTAAGCCAACACAGTTTTCTTGCTTTGCCAAGATGTTCACCAGGCACGTTAAAAAAAGCAGTGTTAAAGAGCACTGTATTGTGGTTATAGAAAGAATGAAGCCATTAAGTTAAAGATAATGTACTCCATTTCACATCAAAGATTTAATTTTTTTTTAATCTAACAACACTTTTCAGAAGTTTTCATACATTTATTTATTTATATTACTTTTATATAGAGATGGAGTCTCACTATGTGGCCCTGGCTGATCTTGAACTCCTGGGCTCAAGCAATCCTCCTGCCTCGGCCTCCCAAAATGTTGAGATTACAGGCATGAACCATCACACCCAGCCCAAAGATTGAATTTAAAAAGGAATGCCAACAAAAATTAAAGAAGCAACATATAACACTATAGGTTGTAACTTGGTGAATGTGCACTTCCAATACCGTATTTTTATATTTTTTAATCACCCAGCTGGATGCAGTGGCTCATGCCTATAATCCAGCACTTTGAGAGGCCGAGGATCACTTGAGCACAGGAGTTCTAGATCAACCTGCAACATAGCAAGATTCCATCTCTATAAAAAAGAAAAAAAATCATCCAACGACTTATTTTCATCATGAATTTGTTATTTGTCTTTTCTCTCAGAAAAGCTCCCTGGAAGGGACCCTGGCTGACACAGAAGCCGGCTACGTGGCTCAGCTGTGTGAAATTCAGACGCAGATCAGCACCCTGGAGGAGCAGATCTGCCAGGTCCGGGCCGAGACCGGATGCCAGAATGCAGAGTATGAGCAACTGCTGGACATCAAGACACGCCTGGAGATGGAAATCGAGACCTACCGCTACCTGCTCGATGGAGAGGGGAGGTAATGAAAGCCATGGGCCCACCGAAATGCATGCCTTAGTGAACTCATTTTATAAAAACTTAAAAAAAGAAAAGACTTGGACTGGACTTGTATTTGCAAAGTAATAAAGTAACAGACACAGTCAATCAAAAGACATTCAGCACTTCTTCATGAGGAATCCCTGACTGGGAGGGTTTCTCCCATCTTTGCAAACAAAAGGAAAACATGATTCTTTTTTTTTTCCTCCAGTGGTTCTGGTTTTGGAGGGTTTGATTTTAGAAACTCAGGGTCCAGGAACACAGGATCCAGGGATCTGGGATCTGGTGACTCAAGATCTGGAAGCAGTTCTGGCCAAGGAAGAGGTAGACATTTTGTTAATGTTGGTGATCATTCTATAATTTAAATGTAAAGGCATGCTTTGCTTGTCATTTTAAAAGTGCATATGATGGTGGGGCACAGTGGCTCACGCTTGTAATCCCAGTACTTTGAGAGACCAAGGCAAGACCGGGCATGGTGGCTCAAGCCTGTAATCCCAGCACTTTGGGAAGCCAAGGCAAGAGAATTGCCTGAGCTCAGGGACCAGTCTGAACAACTTGGTGAGACCTCCTCTCTACAATAAATAAAAAAGTTAGCCAGGTATGGTAGTGCATGCCTGTGGTTCCAGTTACCTGGAAGGTTGAGACAGAAGGATCGCCTGAGCCCAACAGGTCGAGGCTGCAGTGGCTGTGAGAGTGCCACCACACTCCAGCCTGGGCGACAGAGTGAGACTTCAACTCAAAGAAAAAAAAAGAGAGAAAGAGAGACCAAGGCAGGAGGATTGCTTGAGTCCAGGAGTTCAAGACCAGCCTGGGCAATACAGTGAGACTTCATCACAACAAAAAAATGTTAAAAAAAAATAATAATTAGACAAGTGTGGTGGCACATGCCTGTAGTTCCAGCTACTTGGGAGACTGAAGCAGAAGGATCGCTTGAGCCCAGGAGGTCGAGGATGTGGTGAGCCATGACCATGCCACTACACCCCAGCCTGTGTGACAGAATGAGACCCCCACTCAAAAAAAAAAAAAAATTAAAAGTGCATATTCTGTTGTTTACATAATCTTACCCAGAAAGAACATATTTAATGAATGCAATGCAATTGAATTTCTCTTGCTCTAGGTTTTTGGTGTCGTTTCCAGACTGACTTTGTGATTCTATGATTTTCAGATCCAAGCAAGACTAGAGTAACTAAGACCATTGTGGAAGAGGTGGTGGATGGCAAGGTTGTCTCATCTCAAGTCAGCAGTATTTCTGAGGTGAAAGTTAAGTAGCCAGTTTCCAGATCAACAAGAGTCTCTCTCAAGGAAAAAGAATGGAGTACCCAAGTGAAGAAATGCCATTATCCTAGGCATCTTTCTGGATAACTTCAGGGCAAAGCTTCCATGCAGAAATAGTTGACTAGCCAATTGTCCGGCATTCTCTTCTTTTCTTATTAGAAGTCTCTTAAAAAAGTTGAAAAGGCACTTTGCTCTAATTGTTCCTATGCTTCAATAAATTTACTTTTGCAAATTACCTAAATGATACCTGAACTTTTTTTTTAAGAAAGTCAATAGTTTATCTAGGAATGAAGCTGTCCATTGTGATCTAGCTGCATTATTATGTTACTAACATTAATTCATTATTTATATCACAGTCTCTTCTTACAATCAAGATTATAGCTATTTTTTTATTTTAAAATTGGGGGGTACAATTCAGAGTTAGGTATACAAATATTCATTGTGCAGGTACCCTTGTTGATGAGGTGTACCCCCCCTTCCCAAGGCAGTTTCCCACTACTGCCAGTCTCACCTCCCCACCCCCCACACTCTCACAGTTTCCCGCTACTGTCACAATAATTGTTCAAGGTCTGCTTATGAGTGAGAACATGTGAAAGATCACTTAGTATTATAGACTCTAAGTCCACCCAGGTTGAATATAGCCATTTTTAATGTGGGTATTTTAAGGGCATCGCACAAGAACTCAGTGACATGATAGTTGAAATTAGACCACAGTGTCCCTAAAACTATAGCCAACAGCTTAGCCCACAAAGAAAGAAGAAATTATTTGTATAATCAGCTTATAATTAATGCCTAATCTTTTTTAATTTTTTATTTTAAAGATGTGGGGTATAATTCAGGATAAGGCATACAAATATTCATTATGCAGGTATCCTTGCAAATGCCTAGTCTTTTTATGTTCTCACTGATATGGGTAAACTATAAGATAAAAAAATAAATTTAGGCCAGGCACAGTGGTTTATGCCTGTAATCCCACACTTTGGGAGGCCGAGGTGGGAGGATCACTTGAGATCAGGTGTTTGAGACCAGCCTGAGAAACATAGCAAGACCTAGTCTCTAAAAAAAAAAAATATCAAAAATTAGCTGAACGTGGTGGCAAGCACCTGTAGTCCCAACTACTCAGGAGGTTGAGGCGGAAGGGTCGCCTGAGCCCAGAAGGTAGAGGCTGCAGTGAGTTGTATTCGTGCCTCTGCACTCCAGCCTGGGTGACAAAGTGAGACTCCTAACTCAAAAGAAAAAAAGCTGTTAATAGTAAAAGGCTTAATTTCACCCGAAGTGCCACAGGAATAAGACATGCATGTTTGCAAGATATTTAAGAGTCAAATAAAGAGTTGTCAGAAATAAGATTGGGCATGTAATATGGCACCAGATGTCTTAAAACCTTGAAAGTCCCAAAGAGAAGAGATGCCCAGATACTGGTTCCATTGCCAAAACTGTCGCTTGGCCAAGCTGTGTTTCTCTCCCCTACTCTCCACTGCTGGGGTCTTCTACCCCATCGATGGTCCCAGCCCCCACTGTTTCACCTTTACCATGTCTCTAAGCCACATGGCCCTGTTTTGCCCTGTTTGGCATGGTGAAGCCTGCAAAAGGAGGTAAGAGGCGGGACATATCCCAGGAAGACCCAGACACAGAATCAACCCAGGCTGGGTAAGGGCTTTCTCAATCAAGGAATTTAACATGACCAGATCACAGTTTACAGAATCAATTCTACAAGCTAGTCCTCAAGAAAAGAACACAGGATATGGCACAAAAAGCCAAAGACAAAGTTATAAAAGGATAAATCTGAACATAATTCATGTATATTGTACCTTCCAATATAAAATCAATAAGAAGTATATGAGAATATAAAACCTGTAGTTTTCGTCTTCTGGGAACACGGAATTAATCATAAAATGAACCTCTGGGTACACTGGGACTTTTGCTTACATAGCTAACCACAGAATGAAATTAATAGCTAACCACAGAATAAACATTAAGCCACTACTCAAAGATAAAGAGCAATGTTAAATTGTCTTAAATCAAAACCTGTTTTCCACCGTTAAATCATTATTGTAAATTTAAAAAAACCCTGAGTGTTTCTTCTCCACTGAAAAATTAAGATGATGAATCAGCTGATCCAGACTGGATTAACAACCAAAGGACAGAAATGGAAACCTGCCACATGTGGTCTATGGAATCTAGAGTCATCATGGTCATGTCAGGGAAGCCTCTCTCCATGAGTCTTCCTGGGTCTAGTCTGCTAGCCATGGATCCTGGACACCTGGGACCTATGTTCATGACTGGTATTACCCTCACATCAAGGCAAAAGTGAAAATCATTGTGAAATGAAAACCCTAATTCTATGCTTCCCTGGTGTCTGCTAAGATGCTGCCTTTGGGTATATACCCAGTAATGGAATTGCTGGGCCGAGTGCTATCTCTGTTTTTAGTTGAGAAATCTCCAAACAGCTCTCCACAGGAGAGAGCTGAATTGTAGCACTATTCACAAAAGCAAAGACACAGAGCAAACCTAGTTATCCAAAAGACTGGATAAAGAAAACATGATACTCATACACATGGAATACTATGCAGCCATAAAATAGAGTGAAATCATGCCCTTTGCAGCAACATGGATACAGCTGGATGTCATTATTCTAAGCAAATTAACACAAAAATAGAAAGCCAAATACTGCACTGCCACTGATAGTGAGAGCTAAACACTGGGTTCACATGAGTTTAAGCATAGGAACAACTGACACTGGGACCTCCTTAAGAGGGTAGTGGGGGAGGAGAACAAGGGTTGAAAAACTGTCTACAGGGTACCATGCTCACTGCTTGGGTGATGGGTTCAATAGAAGCCCAAACATCACCACATAATATACCCGTGAAACTAACCCACATATGTCCCCCCGAAGTTAAAATTTTTAAAATGAAAAAGATGCTGTGTTTGTACTAAATGAGTGTTTACAGATATGGAAAAGACCCGATCATAGGCACTAGAATACTGAGACACAATAAAATGTGCTGTTAAGGGCATATTCAAGTTTTAAGAATGAAACTATTCAGCCTTTTTGGTTCATAAAATTTTTTTTTTTTTTTTTGAGTTGGAGTCTCACTCTGTTGCCCAGACTGGAGTGCAGTGGCCACTTCCGGTCACCGCAGCCTCGACCTGCTGGGCTCCGGCGATCCTTCCACCTCAGCCTTCCAAGTAGCCGGAATTACAGACATGTGCTACCACGCCCGGCTGATTTTTTAATTTATTGTAGAGATGAGGTCTCGCTGCCCAGGCGGGTCTCGAACCCGCGGGCTCAGGCAATCCACTCACCTCAGCCTCCCAAAGGCGCGGGATTACAGGCTGAGCCACCGAGCCCAGCTGGCTCATAAAATTTATTTAGAATTCTGAATAAAGTGTTAAGAACGGGATCTTCATACATTATTCCCTACCTTCAGTTATTTTAAAACTATACAACAAGAGCATGTTTATTTGGAAAGTAAATTCAGCTCTTCCATTCTTAAATGAGAGGAATGCATTTCTTTCTTCTGTGAGTGGACTTACCCGTAAGAAAGGAGAGCCCGTGCTGACACGCATGTGAATTTTCACCCATTGACTTTTGATCCAGAGATTCATAGCTTTGCTTTTGTCTTTCTGACCTCAATAGGGAATAGACACAGGGATGGTGAGAATCTGTCCTCATGGGGATTAGAAACAAGAAACAAGATTTGTAGCAGGCAGTGCCGAGAAAACAGTCAAGGATTTGGGGCTGTAAGGAAAGTGGTCTAAACTTGTTTTAATGACTTCGTGGAATTAGGCAACATTCAAACAAGAGGAGACGAAGTGATGCCTGTAAATCACCCAAAATGCAGCTCAAGGAATATTATTATACAAACAACTTCCTCCAGTAACAAGACACTACAAGGAATAAATCACTTTGAAAACGTATCAGTGGCTGATTGAAAACACTTGGATAACAGAAACTATTGACCAAGCCCCTTTAAAAGCAATTTACTCATTTGTAATAGTGTCAACATGAAATGAAAGGGTGGAAATCAGCAAACCTTAAGGTAACACTTCAACTAGGTTTTTTTTTAACGTTAGCACTTAAGTAGCACATAAAGGGCAAACCCAGAGTATATCCCAGAGCTATTAGGTGTAAAAAGCTTGGACTCCTGGAGAGAGGGGTGAGGAAGTGTTTATTTTGCTGAGCCACAGGAACATAGAAGCTCATTAAAACAAAAAACAAAAAAACTGCAGCCAGGCATGGTGGCTCACACCTATAATCCCAGCACTTTGGGAGGCCTAAGTGAGAGAACTGCCTGAGTCCACAGGTTCAAGACCAGCCTAGGCAACTTGGCGAGACCTCATCTCTACAATAAATCAAAAAATTAGCTGGGTGTGGTGGTACGTGCCTGTAGTTTCAGCTACTTACAAGGCTGAGGAGGAAGGATGGCCTGAGTCCAGCAGGTCAAGGCTATAGTGGCCATCAGCATACCACTGCACTCCAGCCTGAATGATAGAGTGAGGCTCCAACCCAAAAAAAAACTGCAATAGGAAGTGTGTTGCATGGTTGGGTCTTGCTTCTGAATGACGCAGTAGAGGTAAAAGTGTCCAAAAATCTACAGAGCAGCAAAACACCCCAAAACAAAAAACAACACAGGTATAAAAGTCATAGCTATCTTTTCAAAAGGAAAAAGAAAAGATGACGAAAAAGTATTGTTGGGCCAAGTGCAGTAGCTGACAACTGTAATCCTAGCACTTTGGGAAACCAAGGCAGGAAGATTGCTTGAGCCCAGGAGTTCAAGATCAGCCTAGGCAATATAGCAAGACCGACCTCATCTCTACAAAAAAATCAAAAAATTAGCCAGGCATGGTCTCGCACACTTGTAGTCCTGTCTACTCAAGAGGCTGAGACAGAAGGATTGCCTGAGCCCAGGAGGTAGAGGCTGCAGTGAGCAGTGATCATGCTGTAGCACTCTAGCCTGGGTGACAGAGTGAGACCCTGACTCAAAACAAAAAAAAAAGTATTGTTGTAACATGCTACACATGTACACGCAAAATACAATCGAAAAATTTACATTGATGTCTGCTTAAAGTTGTCAGGAAATCATTCACAACTTTTAAGATAAGTTTGTTATCTTTCTAAAAACAGATGCAGGAATCACCCAAAAAGTGCAGAGCAGGAAGGTTCTCAAGTTCTTTCCAGAAACACAGGCTGGCTGTCAGCTAGCTGGGAGGGACAATCTGACATTTTGAAG